GGATGTCTAATCTAAACCTACTCTCCAACAACTTGTGGCCGTTATTCCTTGTTATCCCAGGGGGTGCTAGGGGAAACAAGGTCTCCCCCAAACCCTTCTGGTCCCCCCTAGTGAGTTTATAGACGGTCACCAGGTTCCCCCTCAGCCTTCTCTTGTGAAGGCTGAACAGGTTCAGGTCCCGTAGCCTCTCATTGTAGGGTCTGCCCTGCTGTCCCCAGATCATGCGGGTGGCCCTCCTCTGGACCCTCTCAATGTTGTCCACATCCCTCTTGAAGCGGGGTGCCCAGAACTGGACACAGTACTCCAGCTGTGGCCTGACCAGTGTCGTGTAGAGGGGGAGGATCACCTCCTTGGCCCTACTTGAGATGCACCTGTGGATGCACGATCAGGTCCAGTTAGCCCTGCCGACCTTGACCTCGCATTGTCAGCCCATGTTCATCTTGGAGTCAATGATGACTCCAAGATCCCTTTCTGCCTGCATGCTCTCAAGAAGGGAGTTTCCCATCTTATAAGCGTGCTGCTGGTTACTACTGCCCAAGTACAGCACCCTGCACTTGTCCGTATTGAAACGCATCCTGTTTTTGTTAGCCCACCCTTGCAACCTATCCAGGTCTTTCTGCAGTCTTTCCCTCCCTACTAGTGTGCCCACCTCACCCCAAATTTTGGTATCATCAGCAAATTTGAACAGGTTGCTTTTCACCCCGTCGTCCAAATCGCTGATAAAGAAATTGAACAGTGCGGGCAGTGGATGGGTGGGGGCACAGCCAAAGACAGAGCACTTGGGTGGGTGTGGGTACGCAGCCAGGGGCAGTGTGTGTGGGGGTCTGTGGGTGTGTGTTCATAGGATGAGTCCCAAACACCCACCCCACCATACACATTCACCCACACTCCCCTTGCACTGCCATATATGCAGACCCCCACATCCACACACCCTCACACAGCCCAGGCACCCTCCCCCCCACACATCCCATACCCACCCACGCCTGACATATCCACACACATACCCGAATGCTCCCTCACCCCACACACCCATAGCCCCCCCACAAACCTATACCCACTCCCCACAACATACAAGAGTAAAACTTCATTTTAAACTATTGTGCAATCACTTCTAGATGTACTACACAAACACATGTAAATCGGGACAAAAATATTTTTTGAAATCAAGTTAATGAATGCTGTAGATGTTTCCTTTTTAGAATATAATTTAGTATTTTTCTGGTTCCAAGATGGCACAACCCCTTGCTGAAAAGAGTACTTCTGGGGGCAAGGGGACGGACTTCTGGTGGAAACGGTCAGGGTTAGGGGCAGGACTTCCAGTCACAAGATAGCAACCAGGGGGTGAGGCACCTGCCAAGGGGCAGAGCTACCCATGTGGCCCTCGACAGCTTGCCAAAACTTGGTAAGTGGCCCTCCACCCGGAATAATTGCCCGCCCCTGGTTTATATGGCCAGCCCCAAAGGGGGAGTGGTGGGGGGCATGTAAGCTCTCCGTGAAATGCTCCATCATTCATGCCAGGCAATTGGCTAGTATAAATAATAAAATCCTTTTCCACCTATAGATACCAAAGCTTTTTACAGAGAGGATCAATACCATTATCCCCATTTTACAGGTGGCAAAACAGAGGCAAGAGAGCCTACCTTAGATCAATCAGCTGACCTGATCTGAAACCAGAACTGAGGCCTCATGAATTCCAGCTTGGCACTTGATAAAGTGAGACATACTGGCTATGTTAATAGAGAGGTAGCTTACCCCCAGCTGACGGCCACAGCACCTGAAGAAAGAAGTTCAGCTGGTGTCATGGCTGCAAAGTAGCTCACATTTACCAGCAAATACAGGCATGTTACCAAAGGAATGGCAATCATCACAGCTCTGGGAAGGGTCACCTAGGAAAAGGGGAAAGAAGGGTTAAGGATAAAAGCGTCACCTCCACAAAGTATATTTACAGCTCTCCCACTGCTGTCCAGCTCTCTCTGGAGGATGGACTCAGACCCAAATCCTCAAGGACCTTTTGGTACCATACTCCTATTGATTTCAGTGGGAATCATGCCCCTAAGTACTTCTGAGGACCTGGGCCTCTTTGGGCCCTTTGTGCTTGAGTGTGCTTTGCCTGTGTGTAGGCCAGGCCTTGAAGGCATAAGTTCAGTATAACTGTAGTTGTCCACCATTTTACAGGTCTTTTCTTGCTCAGGCTGGAGGTGATGGAAGATCTGTGGTGGGAGGATATCTGGCAAATCACTTTCCCTGACTCCACATTCCCACAGGCTGGGCAGTTTGAGCAAGACATAGGCCTTCAACTCAGCCTATTCAGAATGTAACAGCTGCAAAGGCTTGCTTCGCTGCAAGCTGAGTGGGTGAGCTGTGCCTAAGAACTTTGCAAGAAAAGCAGCAAAAGTTTACAGATGGTATAATAGCTTTTCCAAACTGAGGCTATGCTGTGCACAATGCACACTTGTTACTGGAGCATTTGAACTGTGACCAGAGGCCCCACTGCAAACCCCGGGCTCTGATTGGCTACTGTGGAGCATAAAAAGCTGAGGGAGTGGAAAGAAGCTGGAGGAGAGTAGCACTGCTCTGAAGAAAGGGGTAGAGCCCCCTCCCCTCCCTGCAGAGGGCACAGAGATGAGGCTTGCTGGGAAGCAGACATCAGGATGGAGGAGTGCTTGAGTCATCCCAGGAGAAGCTGATTCCCCACCTGGGGCAGAGCTGTGCAATCAAAGAGTGGGGAGGGGTTGGCAAACTAACTGGGAGCTGGGAGAAGCAGCTTGGTCAAGGACCTGCAGAGGGAAGTCCTCTTTTGGGGCTGGAAAGACTTGTACTGCAGGAACAGACCTGTAGAGGGAACCTCCCCTGTCTGCATGTGGAGGTGCTGGGGGAGAGAGAGAGCCCAGAGAGGGAGTGGGCTGTGAGAATCCCAAATCTGTATGGGTATGTGAGGGGATACTTAACCCCTAGTGTTTGCAGGAGGTGTATTTTTCAGAAGGAAACTAAAGAAAAGAAGCCTGTTGCCTGCAATGGCTGATCAGAGACTTGTTTTTTGCTGAGTTACCAAGAAGGAGCAAGGAGTCCACCTTCCCTGGAGCAGCAGAAGCCTCTGCCATCTAGTGGTGAATCCTAGTTAATGCTGTGTTGCCAGTTATTGTTATGGGAAGGGGATTGTGACCAGAGGGAAATCAACCTGGGTTATGAGAGGAAACTGTTTTAAAGGGTTATAACCAGATGAATATAATCCATTGAGGGTGGTCCCACTTGCATCAGACAACCAGTGCAGTGGAATTATTCACCTAATGTTGCAGTTGTAAATGTTATTCAAGTTGTTCGCTGTATTATTAACTATTGATGTCTGTTGTTTATATATATTATTTCTTCTCTTGATTTAATCACGTCCCTTTTCCTGTATATAACTGTACATAATAAAGAAACAAATGTGTTTACTGGGTTTGGAGTAAATTCTTGGGTGGTGAGGGTGAGGCACATTGCCCTTGCATGGGACACCTCCAGTCAGCAGACCTGCTTGAGCGGGTTCCCAGGGTTACTGGCACCCTGAGGCTCCACAGTCCAGCACATCACTCAGCCTAGTGTACAGGTTACAAGAATATACCGTTTTCTTCCCCAACCCTGTGCTCACAATTCAAGTGTGAGTGCTAGATGTCAAAGAAGAAACAGCAGTGGAGTTGAGGGAACAGAGGAAAGTGATGGTTGGGGCAGCTCTGTTTGCACTGTTAGTACCTAACCCCACAATGCCTCCACTGGTATAGTCATTCTTATCTGTCTATGGCCTCATAAATAGACTGTATGAATACTGATACATATAAGAATAGCAGCCTCTCTCCTTTTTGTACTAGACGTGCTTTTTAATTGTTTAGAGTTGTTCTTATTTAAACAACGTTAGTATGTAGGAAAGGGACCTGCAGCCTGGAAACAGAGCTGCAAAGAGCCCATTTTATGAGCCATCCCCTTGCTGGGGAGCCAGGTCACAGCACAGGGAGCTAGGCCACGTCAGGTCAAGGCTGAAGAGGGAGGGCTGAGGTTTTGTTCGCACCTCCAAGCTTTGCCAACATAGCTTTGTTGGCTGTGGCGTGGGGAAAAGATAATTTCCCTCAGGTAACACAGCAAAACCTCCAGTCCAGATTTGGTGAAAGCCCCAGTCTGGAAGCAGCTATGAGACAAAGAGGGCTTCTGCTGGCTGGGCTTTGGTCACTGGAGCTGGTGGTGTGGTTATGTTCACAGAAAAGCCCCATTTCTACTAGTGGGCCCTACCGCCCCAGCTTTGCTCACATGGGTACAACAGCAGCAGCCTCAAAGCTGACAAGCCATTCGTTCTCCTGGAACTTCTGGTGGTGCCGAATTCAAGTCTGCTGTGAAGGGAGTGAATCATTGGGAGACTCGTATCAGGGAAGGGGGCATGTGGAGGACAAAGAGGAGAGGCCTCTGCAGCACACGCAAGCCCAGTTTTGGAAGAATGTCTGTGATATGTCCAAAGAAGCATGGGGGCCAATGTCAGTTATGACTGGACAACAGCAAGGAGTTAGCAGGACCACTGGTAAGCATTATTCACTTTTGTGTAATGCCTTTCCCTGAATCACCCCACGTTCCCACTAACTCATGACTTTCCTTCCCTGCCTGCCTGCCAGACTAAGAATATAGACCTCTGACTCCTCAGGGAGGGAACCCACCAAAGCATCAGACAGCCACATGGTTGTATAGCTATACAAACACCGCTTGCCTCCAGGGTTTGTTGTGCAGGTTTTTTTGCAGCCAGTACTACTAAACTTCTGCACAACGCATCTTTTGCACCCTTGGGTCTGTCTGAAGCAAAACAGGGTTCAGGGGCTCATTTGTTGCTGGTACCCAGCATGACCTTAAGGCAGGGCCCCGAGCTGATCACAGGATGCCAGTGCATTACAGTTATATTTGGATCACAATATGGCCTGGAAATATCAACTGAAGTCAGGGAACTATTGTCAAACACACTGGGTACATCTACACATGCACTTTACTGCAGGAGTTGGCCAATTGGCTCTGCAGTAAAACATCAGTCTACAAATGCACTGTTATTGGGGCACACTAAACTAATTAACTCTGCATACATGCACCCAGTTAGAGATAGTCCATGCCCTGAAAGACATTAGAGAAGATAAATAGAGGAAAGAGACAGAGGGCATTTGAGGACAAGAAAGGTGAAACGACTTCCCAAAGGCTGCTAGGAACAAAATCCAGATCTTCAGATACCTTGGCCAATACTACTGCTCAATGCATTTTCATTATCATAAAGCATTTTCTTATTGCCTGTATCAAGGGCCCAATTACAAACAAAAAATAAGTTTTCAAGGTTCTATTTAGACCCCAATCTTTAAGATTACCAACTCATATTTGCTAGCAGAAAGCACTATGCGGCATAAAAATATTGTAAACCAAAGGTTGAAACTGCATTTCAAATGAGAGCTTTGTAAAAGAAAATGTGTTCAAAGGACTTTGAGGTTCTAGTGTCCTGGATTATTACCTCTTGCCTGATTATTGATTGTTATTGCTGGACCATCTCCTGGACTTTCCACTGAATTTGATGAAATAGCAGTCTGTGGCACAGCACACTCAACAAGGCAAAGGATTCAATCACATTCAAGTAAATATTTAGAAAGCATAAGGGAGTTTGCTCAGGAAAGGGATTTTCTGTTGCTAATATCTTGGCCATCTACAGAGTGCTTATGAGCAACCCTTATCTTTTCAGAGCTGAAAGATTAAGAAAGTTAAGGATTGACTAAATAATGATTATTACAATTTAGCTGGAATACAAAATGTGTCCTAAGAAAGTGGCAATTAGCATGTCTCCTTTCTCCTGACTGAATGATGTGCTGCATTTCCATAAGAGTATCACCCTCCATCCTACAGCCTGATGCAGCTGAATAGTCATGATGTTTGGGAAAGGCTGCTATTCAGTGCGACTGATACCTATATTTCAGTCAAATGTTCTGTTAGACATTTGTACGAAGCATGCTCTGCATTCTCACGGCTCTGGGCCTCTGAGGTTTGGTCAGTATTATCATCCTAAATTAGGAAGGGCAAGCATGAGGCACAGAGAGGTTCAATAACTTACCCCAGATCACAAAGCAAACTAAGAATAGACCTCTTACTCCAGACACTAGAATCACTGCCCCTCTCATGACATATTGTATATAAAATTATGTGAATTATTGAAAAGTTAAATAAAGAAGCCACACTGAAAACCAGCATTGTTCACTCACTTCAGGCTTCTTAAGCTCTTCGGTCACATAATTCAGGTTGTTCCATCCATCATAAGACCAGAGTCCCTGATAAAATGCCACTCCAACCGGTCCAATACCTGCTGTTGTGTTTTGAAAGGCATTCTGGAAACTTTGAGTTTGTCCATTGATGAGCAACACTATTCCGCCCACTGCAATGACCAGTAAAGCCAGGAGTTTGGCAGCTGTAAATACATTCATAACAGAGGTAGCCAACTTCACATTGAGACAGTTGATAACGGTCAACAGCAAGATACAGGTAGCAGCAGTACATTTGACCAGTACCTGAGGTGGGGAGCATCCTGGATAAAATGGAGCAACAGCATATTCAGCAAAGCTTAGAGAGACACCTGCCACACTGGCAGGCCTCACCATAATGACAGAGGTGTACGCAAAAAGGAAAGCAGGAAAAGAACCAAAATTCCTCAAAATGTAAATGTATTCTCCTCCGGATTCTTTAATTATGGTCCCAAGCTCAGCATAAGACAGGGCTGCAAACATCACCAGCAGACCACAAGCAGCCCAGATGATGAGACTGCCGGCAGGGCTACCCATATGGTACAGCACCCACTCTGGAGACATAAAGATCCCAGAGCCAATCATGGTGCCTGCAATCAATGACATGGCACTAATCAGTCCGACCTCACGCTTCAACCTTAAAGTCTCCATCCCTTTGTTTCGCTCTGCAGCCAAACCAGATGAGCCAGCTGTCCTCCTTTCAGTCATGCTAGTGCTGGTAGTAGAGGTGTTTGCAGAGAAAGAGACTGTGAGGCTCTGGCTTCTTTTATTAAGTTAATAATTATAGCAATCACAAGTCACTTGAAGTGTCATTGTTCAGTAGTTTATAGATTGGAAGATACTATCTTTTTTTGTTCCGGCCTTTATTTTTTTATTACTAGCTTATCTTATTAAAGCAGAAAATCAGGTTGGCCTGTTTCATCAGGGCTCAGATCCAGCCAGGTGCTGATCACCTTCTATTCCCATTACAAATAAGAGGTATTGGTAGCACTTCACCTCTTACAGAAGTCACTCGGCACTCCGCAGGATTGTGCGCCAGATTACCTAACAGCAGTGCATTTTATGCTTCAAGTAGAATTGGGGACAAACTGCAGATAAGCAAATTTCCCATAAAAAAATAATCTGTACTTTATTCTCTGAGGCTGATTAAAATTCAATATTCCAGCAGTTTACAGAACTGGTACCACAGACCCTGAGCACTGCTGACTCGGTGTTTCCTATCATCCCAAGGAGATATTGAGTAAGCTTTTCTCCCATGTTGTGGTTTTACTCAGACAAGCACTGGGCTCAGTTTCTCAATACAGGAGTGAGGGAAATGATGGAAGCTTCCAACAGAGGCCGCACACATCATGGGTAAATTCCACACACATCCACCATCAGAGATATGTTCCAGCTCCCCCTGAGTTCACAAGGCAGAGGAGGGAGCGTGTGCAAGGGTAGCCATCATTTTCCATAAGGCTGAAGCTCTTGTAAAAGGAACAGCAACACCGGCTGCCTCTGCTCACCTGGAATTCCTGGGGCCGTTCTGCCTGCCTCCAGGCACTGCTATGGTCCCTTGAACAACCAACTCCTGCAACACCTTCTTGGGTCTAACAGGAATGTTGCCCGAGGAAGGACTAGTGGGTTTCTCGTATAACACATTCATTGTATATCTTATTTGTTTCAACACATGCAGTATATAAAAAGGCACTGATCCAGGGCTCTTGAGGTGTTCAGTACATGGAACAGATGAAAACAAATCCAGCAGCTTCCTTACCCTACAAGCCAGGGTAGCTCTTCTTTTGTGCCATCATGCCATTGTGGCTTTAGGGCTCCAGTCCCACCCCTCTAGGACTGTGGACCCCTGGCCCTCTCTCTACTCTCTGTGGGCTAACCCTCTAAAATCTCTGCCCCTTTTGGGCTGTGGGCTCACTGGCCCTCTCTAATCTCTGTCCCTCTTGGGCTATACTGTAGCTTGTACCCTGTCCCAGCAGGTTCAAGCTTCCTTGTGCCTTCCTAGCACTAATAGGACCCCCATCTCCACTTATGAAAACCCTTAGTATAATTTAATCCAGTCCATCAGATTAAATTATACTAAAAGGGTAAACCGTCTGGCTGTAACTAAAACTAGAAGCACTCTGGCTCCACACCAATCTTCAGCAAGTCTACAAGCTCTCAATTCCCTACTTTCAGTCTACAAAGCAGTGAGGTCCCCAAGTAGCCTCTCAGCCACAATCAGCACAGAATAATTCCTTCCCTAGCAGCCCACAGAGTCCAACCACCTCCTGCCCTCAAACCCTGAGTTTATCTGATGCTTAAGCCCAGCCCCTCTGGATCATGTGACTTCCCCCCCAGCTTCCACAGCTGGTTCTGCTTAGGTTTGCTGGCTAGCCCTCAAGGCAACCTACGGCTACTGAAGCATGGGCGACTGGTGCTGCCTTAGTCGGGGGGCACATGCCCCCTCCCATTGTGGCCAGTCCTACTGACTGGAGGGTGCCCCCCATAGCCGATCCCACCAACTTGTGCGGGGGGTCTCACACACCTGATCTTGCGACAGTCAATTGCTGCCGCCGATTGCTGCAGGCACTTCTGGGTGTGGCTGTAACTGCTTCTGGGATCGGCTGCAGCAATCAGCCAGTGCTTGCAGGGCGAGCACCGGCACTCCTGCCTGCCCCCCGCCCCCCATTACCTAAGTAGTGAGCGCAGCCAGACAGGGGATGTACCAGCACTCTCAGGGGGTGCACATGCACCCCCATGCACCCCCTATTTGTCGCCACTGTGTTGGAATGTCTGTAGCAGTGCCTCCCTTGCCCCAAGCAAGATTCTGCCCTATGGTACTATTGCAGAGCTCTGCAATAAGCACTCTGCTGCTCAGGCCGGCTCTGTCTTATTGTCCTACTGCAGAGCAGCTGGCTCCACAATAGGCACTCAGGACTCATCCAGATGAGCAATCATGGGCATTTCTCCAGGGACAAATATGTACCACTGCTGCTTATCCCCAGGGAACACCCCTACATTTACGCTCTGGTGTGCAGCAAGTTGCCTTAGGTGGGATAGGGGAGGCTGGGGCCAGCAGCCAGGCTGGACCCAGCAGCCTTACCTGGGTTCCTAGAGGCCTCCTGGGGCCCCAGTGATGCCAACCTAGCAGCAGGAACCCTGGCCAGCAGCTGAAGTTTGGCTCTGGCCAGCCAGGCTCCAGTTTTGGGCACTGCACACTACCACCATGTGCACTACCCTGCTTTTTTCTAGCACGAGTGTTTTTGACACCAGAATTTCCTGGTGTCAACTCCCCTACCCACCTATGCTGCAAATTAGCAGTGTGGAGAACAGCTGCATATACAATGTGTGCACTGTGCAGCGCCACAGACCGTTCCTCATAGTCTTTGGCCCCTGGCTGCCTATTTCCTTGCAGCCAGCTCATTAGGTGCAACGTTCCCCCTGTACCTGGGGAATCCCCAGGGCTGTTTCTTCCTGAAAGTAAAAGAGCCCTACGCTCCCTATTACACCTGGGAACAGAACCCAGAATGCTCATCTCCTTAGCTAAGTGCCTTAATTAGCAGGTTATAGAGGGTGACAGGGCTGAAAGTAACCTCCTGAGTCATGAAACCAAGTCACCTGATGCTCCAGGCGCTGCATCATATAATCTCACTCATAAATATTCTGAACTCTTATCTTAAAAGTTTTTAAGCTGTCTGCCCCCATGGTTCTGACTGGAATACAGTTCCATGGCCTTGCTGCCCTCATTTCTATCCTGACTTTAGCCAGTTTATATTAATTTCTTCTGGGGCCCATATTGTCTTGTATCTTAAGCATGCACTCTCTTGTGCTTTCTATCTCTGGCCCCCCTCCATTCCTGCATTCAGTTTTTCAGAGTAGATCAGCTTCAACAAGAGAGATGGAGGGGACCACACCAAGCCTAGCCTCTAGCCTGGTACTTAGGGCCCTTTTCTAGGAGGCAGGAACAGGGTAAAAACACACTCAAGCTCTACAGGCACTAGAACTCAGGCCTCTCACTTCCTGGATGAGTGCTCTAACACTAAGATAATGTATAAAAGCTGGACACCATCCCCTCCTTCTCCAACTGTGTTTTGAAAAGAAAGTGGTCACAATGGCATCTGGTGAAGTTTCCAGTCCCACCAGTGTGTGTGTGTGCATTCAGGGCATGCCTACCAGATTGGGACTCTTAGAGTATGTCCACCCTATGTCCCCAGACCCTCTGGGAAGGGATGCTCTGAGCACACCCTGCACAACCTACTCCTGCTCACATACACCAAACCTAGAAATGAGGCTGTGAAGATGCCCTGGGGGTGCCCCTGCACTACTTCCTCTCGCATACTGCGGCTGACTGGGCTGAAGCAAGAGATGGGCAACACCACAGGCATCTAGGGAAATCTCAAATGAAACAGGAAGGCACCTAGGAACTTTAGGCACTTCCAGGGTTAGGTGTCTGCAGTTATGGACATAGGATTAGGCACCTGTGTTTGTTACAAGGTACAGCATGGTAGTCTGTACTTTCATGTACTTAATTATCATTAAAAATCTGGCCTAGAGAGACTGACTTGGCCAAAGTCCCAGAGTTTGCCAAATTCAGCATGAGTATTTGTTTATTATAAACTCCTGCAGGCCTTTTCCATATACTCATAGAAGTACATCACAAACATTAAGTTAGCTTCCTACCGCCTCTGTGAGATGAAAAATATAAGTCATTACTCAAGTGAATCAAAAGGTAAAACATGTATTTCCCTTAGACCACTCAATAAAGCAGGGGCATAATCAAGTATATACAACACCTGCTCTAACTAATAGATCACAATTCCTGCATCAGATGTTTATTAATCATTTTATTATAGAATGTGGCCATGCCACAAATTTTAGGCATCAAGTTATATGTAAAGCAATAATAAAAGCTATTATTTAAATTGCATTTAATTTTCTGAATTTTTTCTGAAAATCATCTAGATGATGACATATATATCTGCATATAATTAAGGAGTTTGGTGGGAAGGTAGAACATCAGTCATAGAGGCACAATCCACTTGAGTATAAAAAGTATATCAAGAAGGCATGGTCAAAGCATGCCAGCTTACACAACCAATACTGTTGCACCGGAAAGCAATGTGAGTAGCATCGCGTCCAGTGACCTGTAACTCTGTTATGCAACAGGTATTCATTTAAAGTGAAGTTACTTGAGAGCAACATTCAGCAAAAGAATTTCATTGTTGGCAATCCCTCAATTTGAGGATGCTCTCCATGGCTCATTGATAGGTCATGAGGTGAATCCCTTAAGAATCCAGTCCTTGAACCACAACCTATATACAGGTTTTTCCACAGGTAACAGTAGGCCATAAGCTAGGATTTCTCTCCTTTTCCTTCTTCCACTCTCTCTCTCCTTCCTTCTTTAATGACAAGGTGCTTTACCTGGAAATGGGCAGCCACTTGGTTGAAGCTGCAGTGCTATTGGAGTCAGTCAGCAGCCAGCTCCTTTCAAGTCTTGATGTTGGCATCTGGTTCGTTGAGGTATACCATCAGCATTTCCTCTGGCCACTGTAAGGTCTCAGGCCATTACTAAGCTGGGACTTGAGCACTTGTTTTGAGGGTTGACAGTCAGGCATCCACACACAATATCTGGTCCAGGAAAGTTGGTGCTTGAGAATCACTGACTCAGTGCTGGTAACATTGGCTTCAGAAAGGATGCTGGCATTTGTATGGTGATCTTCCCATTTGATGCGAAGGATTTTCCAGAGGCATTGTCGGTGATACTTCTTCAGACTTTTGAGATGACCATGGTAGGTCACCCACATTCCACATCCATAGAGGAGAGTGGGGTAATGACTGCATTTGAAACCTGGATCTTGGTATCTTTCTAGAGACCGTGATGACTGAAGACGTGCCGAAGCAATTTACAAAAACATCCTGCTTTGGCTCCCAGTGGTCTTTTGCCACCTCCAGCATTCCACTTCCCTGTGCCTCCGGGCACTTCTTTTCTACGTCATTCCCTGCATTTTCTCCAATGTGCAGGGAGTATATGCTTTTAAAATGGCATGATGGCAGTGCGTGCTGATCTTGTTTCACTCTGGTACCTACAGGTAAGTTTAGCTTGTCACCAGCCTTCCCAGGCTACTGTTCCTCATGGGATGGGGGGCCATTTTGGGCTGAAACTGCCCCTCTCCCTAGGTGAATGGCCAGCTAGTTGCTCTGACCAGCAACATGTTGTTTTCAGGCATAAACTGTAAGTAAGAAGCTAAACTCTGGGCACATGGTGAGATGTGACCCAGGTGTTGAGAACCCTGGTTGGAGAAGACTATAACTGGTGAGTGGCAGTAGCCCTTGGGTAAAGAGATAATTTAATTGCTGTAGGAGGCAGGGTTGTACCCATGTTGTGAACAATAACAGCATGAGAAGGCACCCCTGAAGAGACAGCGACCCTAAGAAGGCAGGAATCACCAGGAGGTTGAGTGTAACCAGTGATTTTTTGGCTTAAAACAGCCTTGATTGAAGC